CTGGGTGGGACCGTCGCACTCGGCACACTAATATACTCTCTGCCTGGGCTTCGTTATCAGGGTTGAGCTGTGTTTGGTCAGGTCTGCACTAGAAAACTAGGTCGGCATAGCTAAGTCGCTCAGGGGTGTGAAACACCCACCCACCCACCAGCAACCTAAGTCCCTTGGTAGACAGCGCTGGGTCGACGGTACAGTTCGTCCATTGACCTAGCTACCACCTCTCAGTCCCTCCTGCCAGCATAGATAGAAGGGCCACTGGAGCGTTTTAAGTGTAGATGCACCCTAGTAGGGTGACCAGATGTCCCGATTTTGGGGTCTTTTTCTTATATAGGCTCCTATTACCCTCCACCTCCATCCCGAATTTTCACAGTTGCTGTCTGGTCACTCTACACCCTCGTGACATCACTAGGGATGTAACATTGGCCACATTGGATCAGGCCCCTGATCCATCTAGGCCAGTATCCGTTCTCTGACGGTGGCTTCACAGGAAGGTGGAAGAAACCCCGCAGTGGGCAGCTATGGGATAATCTCCCCTTGGGGACATCTCCTCCTGACCCCTGTTAGAGCTCGTGTGATCCTGACACAGCAGGGTACGGTCCCTCACGGAGTGCGCTAGTGTTTCCTGTAATAGAGCCAGATAGTCTTGTTCTCCGTAGAAACCTCCGGCCCCTCTTTGTATCAGGCCGTGTTCTTGGCCCCAGCGATACCTGCTATGGGCTTGCCCCAGTTGAATTACATTGATTCTGCTAGTGCAGGGCCCTAGTGCAGCCTTGCTGAGCTGGGGGAAGCCCGTGTTGTGCCAGTGCAGTGCACCTACATCAGGGGTTTGCACTAGAGCAGAGGTTCTCCAACTGGGGGTCGGGACCCCATTTTAAGGCTTGCTGGGGCTCGGGGCTGAAGCCTGAGGGATTCAGCCCTGGGCGGCGGGGCTAAGGTTACAGGCCCCCTGGCTAGGGCTGAAGTCCTTGAGCTTTAGCTTTGACCCCTTCCCCGCCTAGGGCAGGGGGGTCCGGGCTTTGGCTCCCCCACCCGGGCAGTGGGAATCAGGTGGACTCAGGCTTCAGTCTCCCCTCCTGGGGTTGTGCAGTAATTTTTATTGTCCGTGAAGTTTGAGAACCCCCGCACTAGAGGAACTGAACTGGAAACAGGGTGTGAGGGTAGTTAACCATTAGAGCAACTTACGGATCCTCCCTCCCTGGGAATTCTTAAATCAAGATTGGAGGTTTCGCCAAGGCCTGCTCTAGTTCAAACAGGAAGTGACGGTAGCAGTCACTTCCAGCCTTGGAATTGATGAACTGCATCACCGTGGTTACCCGAGTGCGAATTTCCTGATCGTCAGCTGGGCCTAAGGTGGTCGCCAGCGATAGCCAAACCCTGCAGGGATCAGAGGCCTTGTCAGGGTTTTAAATTGCATGGGGACAGGAGTTCAAATGTCCATCATGTTGGTTCCAGAAGTGGAAGCTGTCCTGGAGAGTGAGCTTGGGGGTGGACCACTTAATTCCTTCTCAGCAGTAACACTGATCTGCACTCAGGTAGCACTATCATCAGAAGGCCTCCAGGCATATTAGATGGGGAAACTGAGGCATAAGAGAAGTCTTTCTCAAGCTCACACCAATCAGAGCTGCTAATAGAACCCAGTCTCCTGCTCCAGCGACTCTAGCTCTGTGCCAGGCCTGTAGCAGTAGGCATGGTCAGTTTGGCGCCTCCATTCCCACCCTTGGATGGGTGCTGAGCCCCTTAGGGTACATCTACGCTGCGAACCCGCGGCAGCGAATGTCAGAGCCCCCGTCAATTGACTCGGGCTTGTAGGGCTAAAAATAGCAATGTAGACCTTTGGGCTGGGGCTGGAGCCCAGACCGTGTCATCCTGCGAGTGGGGAAGGTCTCAGGGCCCAGGCTCCAGCCTGAAAGTCTATGGGACAGTTTTATAGCCCTGCAGCCCAAGCCCTGTGCCCCCAGAGTCAGCGGACTCGGGCTACCTGTGTGGGTCTTTTATTGCAGCATAGCCGGGAGAGTTTGCTTTCACTGCAGCTGGCTTGGGCTCTCCTTGTGTTACACACACTAAGGCTGCTTCTGCAACCTCTCCTGCCCTGCCCTTGGGGCTAGAGAGAGGCCTTGCCGCCTCCTTCCCTGCCTGTCACTCCCGCTGTGAATGGAGCCGAATCAGCTGCATCGTGGGCCTGGTGAGTCACTGCAGTGCTTTGTTGCCAGAGAGGCCAGCGTGCCAGACGCAGCATGGTGAGCCCTTTGCTTACAAAGCACCCTGTGCCCCAGCCCCAGCCTGCCTCCAGTCACGTTCCTGAGCCGTGCCTTGCCCGGGAACTCCTCTGTTGCTTTCCTTGGTGGCCCCAAGTAGCGGCAGGTGGGTCCCGGACTCCGGCCCCATC